TGTGTGCATCAATTAATTCCTCTGTGCGCTCTTCCAGGCGCGCAGTGCGTTCTCCTATGCTGTTGATGTCTGACCTGATGTCTGTTGCCATTTGCTGCAGGTCTGCTTTGAATGATGTTTTTAGTTCTAGCATGATTGATCTTATGGAAGAGTTCGTCGCTGGGCTGTCCCTGCTATCCCCTGCTTCAGAGTCACATGTTGGGGATTTGGGCCTATCGGCGCCTTCTTGCTCACCATGCTCTGTGACTTGATTCCTCTCCAGATGGGCATGCATAGTTTTTTGTTTCATTTTTTTTGCGGTTTCGTCACCATCGGATAGGAGGTTAGTTCCCCTTGTTGTTGTTAGCTTTTGCCGGTAATTTTGTCGTTTACTCCACGCTGTGATAGCCGCGGTATCGGAGGAGCTCCGGTCTCACACGTCCGCTCACATGCGCGGTCAGGACACGCCCCCAGTAAAAAATGTTTTTAATGTGGAGCTATTTTAGGATTTGGCATGTTTGTCTTGTAAGCTAAATACCCATCACAGAAAGCAAAATTGTCGCACAAAAGTATATATTTATATAACGCACACATCACAGGCTATTTACCAAAGAGTATTCTGACACTTTTTACGAAACCATTTCGCCGCCAATCTCTGCTAAATAGGGTAGTAAAATTGTGTTTTTTAATGTGTATTTCATAAAGCTGATATATACTACTGCTGTAGAAAACCCCATATTGTTTTCAGCCATATCAACTGAGTAAAACGATACCCCCAATCTATGCCTTTGCCACTATCCTGTGAAGTTACAGTGCCATAAAAGAGACCTGACCATTTCAGTTTTCACAGTGATAATTTTGATAGATTAATTTGATGAGGCAAGTCTCATTTAGGGGCATTGTAGCAGTTTAACTGTTGTATTAACCCCTCAATGACCCACCATTGGTGAAAGTAGACACTACAGTGTATCTCATATGGTGTATATTGTGCCTTAATGTGATGCCATTTTTTCACCAGTTTATGTCAAACTTTGTGGTAAAAAAAATTTTTGCATTTTTTTTTACATACACGTTAAATTTTTTGTGGTCATTTTTCAAGTCTGGTATGTGCCACTGTGATCAAAACCCCATAATTATACTCAGGAAACTCTTCTGAATAAAGCAATACCCCCAATGTATGTCTTTGCCACTATGTGAAGCTACAGTGCCTTAAAAGAGTCGTGACCATTACAGTATTTAAAATTAGAATTTTGATAAATGGATTTGGTGTGTCTATATCACAACTTAGGGCATTGTAGTAGTTTGACAGTTAAAATTACCCCATAAATGCATACAATTTGTGAAAGTAGACACCACGGGCTATGTCATATGGTATATTGTGAGCTTTATTAGACAGTTATGTTAGCATCAATTTCTTTCAAATTTTATCATATTGTTTTATTTTTGCATTTTTATACACATGTATTTTAGTGGTTAATTTTGGAAACTGGATATATGTTCCTGTAAATGAAATCACTAAATTATTCTCAGCTATATTTCCGGAGTACAAAATGACACTCTTTGTACACCTTAGCCAGGTTTTTGTGAAAAAATACAGGGCTAAAATCATACCCGGCCCATTACAGTTTTTTTTAAATGGCAAATTGACAAATGGTCATGGTTTCATTTGGGGGCATTTTAGTCGCTCATTTATTTAAATTACGCCACCAATGCATACCATTTACAAAAGTGGACACCATGGGGACCCTCACATAAAATATTATAAGCTTTATTGAAGTGACGTTTTGTTACCATTTTGTTTCAAAGTTTGTGGTATTCATTTTTATTTTAACATTTTTACGTACACATAGTATTTGTGATGCTTATCTTTTTTTAAATCTCATGTGTCCCACTGTCATAAAATTATCTTAGCTGTACTCAGCAACATCTTCTCAGTACAAATATACCCCATATGTATATGTTTGGAAAGTAGCGATCTTAATCCTGATCTAAATCCCTAATCCTAAACCAATCCCTTAATATAAACCAAATCCTAATCCCAAATCTAACCCTCAATCTAATAATAAACCCTTACCACAATCCTAACTCATAATGTAATCCCATGTGTAATCCTAATTATAACCTTAAAGGACCACTATAGTGCCAGGAAAACACACTTGTTTTCCAGGCACTAGTGCCCCTACCCTCAGGGTCTCCCTCCCGCCGGGCTCTGGGGAGAGGAAGGGGTTAAAATCTTACCTTTCTCCAGCGCCGGGCGGGGAGCTCTCCTCCTCCTCTCCTCCTTCATAGCAACGTCATCGGCTGAATGCGCATGCGCGGCAGGAGCCGCACGCGCATTCAGCCAGTTCATAGGAAAGCATTTACAATGCTTTCCTATGGACGCTGGCGTCTTCTCACTGTGATTTTCACAGTGAGAAACATGCAAGCGCCTCTAGCGGCTGTCAATGAGACAGCCACTAGAGGCTTCATAAAGATGAAGTGGTCTGGGTGCCTATAGTGGTCCTTTAATCCTAATCTCAAGCCTAACTTTAGCAATAGTGTTAAAATGATTCCCCATGCTGGTGTCAACATAGGAATTCCCTTGCTATATTCGGCAAGGGATGCCCATGCTGACTCTAATCCTAATCTGAATCCTAATCCCAAACACTACAATTAATTATAAACCTAATCTTAAACAAACTTAATAAACCTGATAAATCTAGTATTTATGCTAAACCAAAATAATCCTTAATTTAATCTTAATCCCAAAGGTTTTCCTCTACTATCAGTACTGATATTAGTAAAGAGATTTTAAACTAAAACACAGAGGAATGTTGCTGCCATCTACTGGCTATTTTCAGTATTGCAGTCTCCCATCTCCTACATTGAAGAACATTATGCCCAATGCAATGCGATCTGCGCTGGGCAACTGAAAATGCCCAGCACTGATCAGAATGGCATTGGGGCATAGAGGGTGACCCTCCAGGGTCTGTTCAGACCCTGGGGGTCTCCCAAGCACCAGGTCACTTGAGAGAATGACTGTAGCTGAGCTTGATCGCTCAGCTGCAGCGTTCTTTGTGGATTTAAAGGGCTACATGCAGTGCTGACTTTCAGCACTGCATGCAGCTCATCAAAAAGTCTGGGGCCACAACTGACAGTGGGGACACCCAGGTTTCTAATGATACCTGGGTTTCCTAGTGTGAGCATGGATTTAACCCTGCTCACACTACATTGCTGTCTATAGGGATTTAGATCCCCATTTAAACAGCTGCATGCCGATTTCACTTAGAGCTCTGCATGCAGCTCAGCAGTCTGTCTGGGGCCAGTAAAAATGGCCCCAGCTGACAGAGGGGACCCCCAGGTTTCTAAAGATACCTGGGTTTCCTGGTTTGAGCAGGGATTTAACCCTGCTTACACCACAATCTAGATATAAGCATTTAAAGGCCTATTTAAGCAGATACATGCCGGGCTGACTTCCAGCACTGCATGTAGCTCAAAAAGGCTGGGGTCACTAAAAATGTCCCCAGCTGATAGAGGGGAGCTCCAGGTTTCCATTGATACCTGGAACTCCCTTGTGTGAGCAGGGATTTAACCGTGATCACACCAAATTGTAATAGTGGGGATTTAAATGCTTGTTTGCAGCACTCACTTTGAGCTCTGCAAACAGAGCAGTCAGTCTGGGGCCACTAATTCTGGCCCCAGGTGAGAGAGGGGAGCCCCAGGAATTAAATGATACCTGGGGCTCATAGTTACCAGCAAGGGAATAGACCCTGCTGGAAAAATACTGCATGACGGAAATTTTACGTCATGCACCCTTAGGGGTAGGAACAGCATGACGGAAAATTTTCGTCATGCGTCCTTAAGGGGTTAATTCAGGGGCTCAGTGCACCCATTAACGATAGCTCATGGGTGGGGCTTGTCCAGGCAACAAGCAGGGAGGGGGGACCAAAAACCATTTAAAAAAAATAATGCAAATATTAAAATATAAAATAATATATTAAAATAATAATATTATTTTATTATATTATTATAATATTTGCATTATTTTTTAAAAAAAAATTTTTTGTCCCCCCCTCCCTGGCCAGGCAACAATCAAAGAGGGGGGACAAAAAAAAAAACATTTAAAAAAAAAATAATGCAAATATTAAAATATTATATTATTTGAATAATATTTTATTATTATTAAAATAAAATATTAAATCCCTGGTGGTCCAGTGGCATTGGCAGTTCAGTGGGGGGGCTGGCAGCGAGCTGTTACTTACCTTCCTGCAACTCCTGTCAGCTCCCTCCTCCTCCGTGCAGCTCCGTTCTGTTTACAGTGTAAGTCTCACGAGACCCGCGGCTCTCGCGAGACTTACACTGTAAGCAGAACGAAGCTGACCGGGGAGCTGCACGGAGGAGGAGGGAGCTGCAGGAAGGTAAGCAAGAGCTCACTGTCAGCCCCCAACAGGACCGCCAGGCTTGTAATGAGCCCGGCGGTCCTGGTCTGTATTGTGGCAATGTAAATTGCCACAATTCAGACATTGACTCGAGTATAAGCCGAGTTGGGGTTTTTCAGCACAAAAAATGTGCCAAAAAACTCGGCTTATACTCGAGTATATACGGTAATCTTTACTTGGTATTAGTAAATTTAGCTGAAAGACCAATTTAGGCCTTTCATCCTTTTGGTAAATAGCTCCCTGATACCGTGGGAATTAGGGAGCTATCTACTAAGTGGCTGCAAGATGCAGCCGCAATCGGATCGGAATTTCATTCATTTGAATGAAATTGCAATCCGAACAAACTCTCGAATTGCTCCTAACACGAATGGAGAAACTGTTCTCATTCTGTTAGGACGAAATTCAGTGGTTTTGCCGGAGTTATGTCTAAGTGACAGGACGTTCGGGAACACTGACAGGAAGCATCACGAGATCATGGAGGAAAGGTAAGAATTGTGGGGAAATTGCTTTGACCATAGGAAACAGGGCACACTTTGTTCCTCCGCTGGTCAAGTAGTCCCTACTTTGTCTTATGTTTTCAAAGAAAATTAGAGCAGACAGGAAGAAATGAAGAACAGATCCTGACAGAGGGAGAAAAGAGGAATCAATTAAAGAAAGGTAAGTTGGGCATGAAAAGTACTTTAGATAAGAGGCTAAACAAGAGATATTTCCTAGATCGTGGGAATACTGTACATAAACTGTAAATCCTGGCTGTTTGTA